AATTAACACTGACGAGACTGGCCACTGTTCTCTGCCATGTTATATCAAAATTATAACCTTTTCATTGACCATCTGTGTTTTCCAAAATTTTCAAAGTCATGTTGATATTGTTTTTGTTTAAGATACCGTATCCACGCGTTGCCTCTTGCTGAACAGTCACCGCGGTTAACTGCAGAAATTTGTGCCACACTTTTCTCATAAAAAAGTTAAAATAAGAATATGTAGATCTTGGTTGCAATAGAAAGGGTTTCAAAACGTCCTTGTAAGTAGCCTATATTTAGGTTGCGCGCTAATGTGTTCTTTTTTTGATCATTTCCAATTTTGAAAAAGTTGCTCACTTTACAACATGTTACTAATGTACGCTTCATAACTGCAAAAAAGTTGGAAATCTGAATAGAGAGACCTTTTGACTGCTGCACGACCGGTAAGTTCTATTGTCCTAGATGGAAAAACGCGCAGTACTCACTGGTGGCATTGCCACCAGTATGCTGAAGAATCGTATTATGCGAAGTTCAAACGATGTGTGCTTGCATAGCGTAACATAAAACATCTAATTTATGGGAACATTTTATAAAATCAAAAAGCATTGATCCTAGTACTACCTAGCCGAAAGTTATTTGCAGCAACCACAGGATGACTCAAAAGGTTGATCAAAAAGAGATCATTATGTGCAGTAAAACCAAAGTTAAGTGTGCCAAATAGAAGACATAGTGATGATCTGAAAAGTGAACATGTCAAACTGATCTTCCAGGGACTTGAGACATGTTAAAAATGTCTCACAATATCATAAACAGCATTTTGCAAGCCTTTCAAGCAAGAACTTTTCGCATACTTCCATATTTAAATCAATGATAAAGTGTGCGATAGTGGATTTTTTCTATTGAATCTTATTTTTGTTTAACTTCTTGGTAGCCCTTTTGTTGTCCGACGATAAGTTCATCCTGGCAAGTAAAAAATAATTTCAATGAAGGCGTTTATCAGCACTATAGGCTTCGACTATTCGGTTTACTATTCTACTTGAAGCACGAGCGCATGTCTGCGGAGGGGAAGTTGGGAATCGTTTTGGGGGAATAGCAAAGGGGGAATCCCGAAAGGTGCAAAAATCCTAGGGACACAGTCACTCCTTTCGTTCTCACTTTCCTCATTACTTACTTCACAACCATCTCCTATAACTGTCTTAACAACATTTTAGAAGCCTACTCCAAATTTGAGATCAAATGAGGGAGTTTAAGCACTTATTCACAGCAGTTCAGTTACAAACTCAAACCCATTTTTTAAAGTATATACCCAATAAACAACTCCAAAATATAGATAGAAGGTGCTCGACAAAGGGTTTGATGTATGCAAAATCTTTGGAAACTTATGGGAATAAAAAAGATTCCGTACCTTTTTATGATATAGGTCTTCAGCGGAGATCTACGGCGGGC